ACAAGGTTGAATAATATCAAATATGAAGGAAAGATATTAAATAAATTAAAATTATTTACTACAGATTACTGTGTCCAGAAGCAATTTGCAAAATAATATTGTTAAGAGGTCTCAGAAGTGGTTCTGCCTCTGAATTTCTACTAGTGGACAGAGAGTAAGTAAATGGGAAAGATGGCATAACATAAAATGAGCTCAGACTAAAGAAGAGAGCTCCTAAAATATAGTCGTATGTTGATCATTGAATCAGTATCTTTTGCTCCTCCCTTCCTTCCTTCTTGCCTTCCTCCCTTCCTTTCTTTGATAATCAGGCAAGGAAAGAAGAGGAGAAAATAGAAGAGTTTTGACCTATATGCACAAATGTTCTCTCTCCCTACTTTCTAGTTATGCAGGCTTCACTATGAAGAACTAGTTAAGAAGTGGAGAGTTTGTTTCTTCTGCAGTTCTACAGCTGTTTTAGGCACTGCTGCATGTTTATGACCTTTTCTCACAGATGTTACATTTTATGAAATGTGACTCATTTGGGTGGTACTGGTATCTTTAAATAAAAGAAATCCCAGAGGGCTGAATGATTACACAGCTCTTGTTCGCTCATAACCTGAAATACTTGAATATATGCTGGGGGGGAAAAAAGGCAATAAGACTTTGCTATAGTTACCGGTAAATGAATTAGAAAGAGCAATGATTTCAATTTCATTCTTTTCTCTGGAAAGAATAAGGAAGGGACAATATTCTTGTTTGGGGAGGTTTTGTTTTCATTTGCAGCATGTTTTTAATTTGTGCAGGCCTTTTGTTTTGGACCTTGGTTCATATTTTTGATCCAATGTGCAAAAAAAAAATTTACTAGAAAACATTTTTTGAAGGCTTACTCTATGCAAAGCACTGGGTTTGGTGCTCTTGGGAGGCACAGAACGGAGTGAAAGAACTAGAATCCATCGTCCTGCCATCTTTGAGCTTCTCATAACTGTTTAAAACTGCATGTCACCTGTCTTTTCTAGATTAGGCACCCGGGGACCTGGGTGGGAAGGCGACACATCCAAAGTCATGCAGCGAGTAGCATGCAGAAGTAAAACTTAGAACCATCTCTCCTGAGTTCCAGTGCTCTTTCAACATAACAGGCAACCTAGTAACCCTGGACTCAGACAGGGCTTGGGTCACGGCAGGTCAGGAACTAGGGTGAGGCAATTGAGGCAAAATTGTCACAGGTACCAAAAGCTTAGTAATCACACTTTATGCGAAAGAATTCCATGCTGAACAATACATCAAAATTTTAAATGAAGTCAAGATCTGACTCTGTAGTTGCATGACGTAACCTCACTATGATGTAAACCTAATCTTGGTTCTGTCATGCAATCTGAATTTTGGGGTCCACCGAGTGCAAAACCAACAAGAAAATATTCCCGTGGCTGGGAGAGTTGTAAAGGAATCCCTGAATGTATGGAGTGAGGGGTTCAGATGTTCAGAGATGGATCACAAACTACGCACAGTAGTGTACTTATAGCTCTCGTTTGTTTTAATAAGAAACTGAAGACTGAAGAGCATGGGGGGAAACCCAAGGTGCGACAGAGGGTCGCGCTAACCTCTGAGGGACACTATTTCCATAATGAGCCCGGTTCCCTCGGAAGGCTCCGCTAGGCAGAGGATAAAATGGAGTCCTGAGAGCCCCACAGTGGGGTTTGCTTGAAGGTCTTTGATCAGAACTAGAAAGTGGATTAAAAATTTTCTTCCCCTTTTTGATTTTCTTCTCTCATCCATGTCTTATGCCTGGAGTGTTGAGCTAGGACCTGGACATGCACCTTTTGAAAGCACCCTTGCCCTTAGAAGGCCAAGAAGAGATCACAATGGATTCCAGGAGGAACGGAGAGATTCTTGGGCCAATGCAGGCCTCTGGGTTCATACACAGTCGAGTTCACCAAGAGAGAGCCAAAGGGGACTTGGGGCTTGGCCTGCTAGGGAACGGTAAAGAACACGCATTTGCCTGAATGTCCTCAGAATCCAGATGCTGTGGGCTTCATAGAAGTTGATTTAGATTCCTGGTTTGGCAGTTTGGTTCTTCACTTTCCCACGTTTTGCAGTGACTTTAAGAGCAGACTCAGAACCAGCCCTGGGGAGAGAATAGATTCTGGGTGAATGCACACTCTGACACAGTGCTGGTACGTGGCTGTCACAGGGGCACAGCGGTAAAAGCTGTTCTCATAAGCTGGCTCTGCTGGGCCCGGAGGTGGGGAGGGGTGAGGAGGGTCTAAGAAAGAACTGAAGCAGCTTTCTTTCTCGTAGATGATTCTCAGCTTCCTTTTATCTAGTCATCCTCATTTGCAGGGAAGAGTGGTTCATTTTTTTGTTTGTTTGTTTGTTTTCGTTTTTTCAGCCACAGTTACAGCTCTAGGGGAAAAAAACCACAGTATAATTATTCTCTAAATTCTGCCATTCGCAGGATCTCTACTGCTTTAAACCCTCTTGAGAAAGGAATCCTGTGCTTCAGGGGCTTAAAGGTTAAGAACCTGGGCATTTACAAATTGGGTAAGAATTCTAACAATGCCACTTGCCACCTAAATGGTTTTGCAAGTTCTTTCGTTTTCCTCCTCTTCACTTTTTCTGATCAGTAGAGAATAAGGGCTCAAAAATAATGTCTTTTGTCATAGATTTTTGCCTTTAAAGGATGATGCTAAAGGCCCCCTACATGCATTCATCAGTGCCTTCTAGAGTATCTCCATTTGGCAACCATTCAGGCTGTGCCTGAACCCCCTAAGCGTCCCCCAATACAATCTATCTATTTGCATAGTTTGTTGTTTTGCAGGTTTTTAACTCTCCAATTTGAACGGCTCTAAGTTTTTGTTTCTGATAAGACAAAATTTCCCTGGCTTCTGTGCCAGCATTTTTTGCCCTAGCTCCAACCTTGGAAACACACAGAATAAACACCTTACTTTTTCCTCATCCTCAACTATCTGCAGATAGCTATCAGACTCCTTAAGTCTTCCTTTTTCACTGATTCCTTCAGCCATTCCAACAACAGCACCATCTCAAGTCTCGGTAGTCTCTAGAGTTTTTTCTTTGCACTGCTTTAGTTTCCCAGTGGTCTTCTCAAAATCTGTTTTGCAGACCTCAACAAACTAGTCTTAAGATAGGCTGACCATGACAAAGTAGAGTGCTGAAGTTGCTAGCTTCATTTTCATTAACATAAAATAATTAAAAGTGCTCACAATAATTAGTCAGGGATCCAATTGTTTGGTTATGACCAATGGGAAAGCCTTTCAACTTGCTTTATTCTATTTTTCACTACTACACTTCATCCTATGCTTCCTCCTGTCTCCTTCTGGGGTCGGGGGTTGAGGGGGAGGCAAAAATATTTTTTTGGCCACGATCTTGTACGAATGGGAGGAAGTTCTAGAAATGCTGCCTTTCCCTCCTCCCCGCCACTTTTTTTTGCTGCCGTTGAAAAAACATTACTGCTGTTATCAAAACAAGTTTCCCATCCACCCCCCTCACCAAGTTCACTTACTACTTCTCTGAATGATGAACAAACAGTATTGTTTTGTGAGTGGCTGCAACTTCAATATGTTCTGCAAGTTCCTTGACTATTGTTTCTTCTCCTATAGAAGAAGAGCCTTCTCTTTCTTTAAGAAAGGAAATATCTTGCCCTAAGACTCCTATAAAGGTCACTGACAATATAGGATTGAAAACCAAAACATTTGGTGCCGAGTAATGATGAAATAGAAAACAAAGGTATATTGTGGGAGCAGCATAAACTTCTACTTCACGTCCCTGACTTTTCTGAAGCCTATCTCTGTCTGCGGAGATTTCAGGTCGTGGTTAAAGATTCGAGACTCACACAAACATAGTCATGGTCAACCTTTAAAACAATTTTTAAACCATGGGTGGTATCTACTTATGAGATGTTTTACAAACTGTTAGATGCCCTGTTGTGACTGCTGCTTCCCAAATCAGTTCTTCAAGAGACATAACACAGCCCAGAAAATATTAAAAAAGATTAAAGCTTTAACTTTGACTGTTTATATGAATGAAAAGATCCAAAATATAAATTGGGACAATTCAGATCTCCAGTAGCTATCTAGTCATGTCCTACAAAAATAAAGTGACAGAAGTCCTATGCCATCAAGATTTTCAAACTCAGTGCCCACATTCTTCCTGCTAAAAAATTACTTGTACACATAGAAATCCTTTTTCAAGGAAATACTGATGTGGGAGTTTCTTGCTGCCATAATCAAGGCTTTGAAACGTTATATTGGCAAAGGTGGTGATTCTTCCGCAGACTAGATTATATTTGGGGAGGGGCAAGATAAAGAACTAGACTATATATTTTAATCAAAGGTGAATAAATAGCTCTTTTAAAAGAGAGAGGTATAAGAAATATAGTGCTTTACAGTATTATATTTTTTCACCAGTCTTGGCCAGATAATAATGGCATTTGAGGGCTAGACACAGGAGTCCCCCAACTCAAACACATTCAGAAGGCAGGCATACAACAATGTGTGAACTCCATACACAGTCCATGTTTTTAGAAATATAAAGGCCACAAAACAAAACAAGTTTTAAAATCTCTACTTCAAACTTCTTACCCTTCTCATGAAGTAAAACAAAGAAATTGCTCCATTGTGTCCTGCTTTTGGCCTTATACTGGTTATAATTATAGCTGCAGTGATTGAGCATACCTCCTGTGCCCGTCCTGAGCTGACCATCTTTGAGGACTTCCTTATGTGATGCTCACAGCAACTCTATGATTTAGTTCTATTACTATTCCCACATTACAAGAGAGGAAGAAACTGAGATTTCAAGGTAGTAGATGATTTCTCTAAGATTCCACCGCCAGGAGGAAGGGAGACTGGGATTTAAAGGCCAGCACTCTAATTCCAGAGCTCAGAAGCCACTTAACTACCTGATACTCAAATTATGTCTGTGTTAATTGTCTTACAGTCTTGAAAAGAAACTAAGCCTAAAAGTTTCCCCCTGACCCGAGGTTAATCATTCATTCTGTCTTCTCCCAGCCATCTACGGAGTTAGTACCTCATTACCGATTGTCCAAGTGGGAACACTAACTTCAGGGTGGAGCATTAGAACAACGGGTAAGTAAGTAAGCATTGACTTTTCAAATATGTGCTGTGTCTTCTTAAAAGAATTTGTTTTATTTGTTGATTTTAAAGAGAGACAGGAAGGGGGGGGCGAGAGAGAGAAACATCGATTTGTTGTTCCAGTTGTCCATGCAGTCATTGCATGTGCCCTGACCTGGGATTGGACCCGCAACCTTCAGGATGAAGCTCTAGTCAGCTGAGCTACCCGGCCAGGGCTGTGCTGTGTCTTCATAACTGTCCAAGTGAAGCATGGGGGTTAGGCATGCAGGTCAACTTGGAAGTGCTTTTTATGAAAAGACTTTCATCCCAGCAGAGGAAAATAAGTGTCATTTCCATTTTATTCAGTTGTTCTTTCTTTCCTTTTTTTCATAAGAGAAAAACCTCCCCCAACCGCACTGCCTTTCAAAGTGAGTAAAACATTTGTATGCCCTAAAATTAGTTAGCTTTTCTGTTTGAGATTGATTTTCATTGCCAACTCAGTAAAAAGTTACTGTGAATGACATACCCAGTTTAGCTAAACTTCCTGAAAAGTTCTGTTAATTTCCTAAATGAATGTCTCTCAAATATCTCCCCTCATCTCCATTCTCACCGTCACTGCCTAAAGCCGTTCCATCTTTGACTTCAATTGTGACAACATTCTCCCAAACTGCACCCAGATGATATTTACAAAAACAAAGATTCGGTGATGTCACCCCCTCCTACAAACCTTTTTATTTGCTCCCAACTGGCAATGGAGTATAATCCAAATGCTTAAGCATGACATTCAAAGGACATGATTACCAGAACACTACCCTTTTTTGTTGTCTCTTTTCCAGACAAACCAAAAGATTCCCAGTCTTCCTAATATGCCAAGGAATATTGTCATTAATGTTTTAATGTCACACATTAAGCAATCAGTGACATTGGAGCTACAAATGAGCAAGGTACATCTCTATTAAAAGTAGGCTCCGCTCAGGGTTGGGGTTAGAGGGTACAATCTACAATCACTGCTTTATGTCTTACCAACCATCAGTAGCTGTCAGTATCACGCCCAGCTCTCAGTTTCCATTTGCTTGCCTTGGGTCAATAAACAGGGCATCTTTATAAAACACTGCTATGCCTCAACACCTTCCAAACAGAGATTGTTCATCCAAAGGGGAGCAAAATAGTCTACTGGTGCCAAACATCTTGAGTACAGTCTGGGTGTGGGATACAGTTTATATTTGGTAGTTAGTGGAAAATACTGAACAATGCCTCCCAAATAACCCTTACCCCACCACACGTATATCAGAAAAAAAATCTCTCTTCCCTAAGAAGACAGCCCTTGAAAAATTAAGTTTGCTTACCATATCTGTTTGCTGGGTCATGGATCTGTGATTTTCACCAGAGAATTTCACTTTCACGTCCACAGATTCATTCAACTCATTCCTGTCATCAATCGGAAGCAAAATACATGTTCCCTCAAGGGCCCCTATGGTTTTCACGGGAGACACATTTATTTAACCCTTTACTTCTTTTTTACCAAGGTGTCTGAGGAACTCTACACAGGCAATCCACATAGACCAAGGTCATTGAATCCTTCTCTCTGTTTAAAGCAGATTAGAGGCTACATTTTCTTAAGATTCTGTTAGGTATACATTTTAGCAGCGGTCCATGAAAACCTATCTGACTTGACATTATGGAACTAAATTAAACCTCCCTGCATTCGCCAAATGTTCTGCCAGAAGGCATCTTTGTGTTTGTCAAGGTACATAAACAGAATGTTTCCCTCTACAGCCAAGCCTCATTTAAAGACACACTGAAAAGCTTAATGATACACATTACTACCAGATGTCCTTTCCCCAAGTCATCTGGATTTCTTAGGCTATTTATCACTACACTTTCTGCCAGAACTCTTGCTCTGAAATCTATTTACTCAGAAAAGAGTTTCAGCTTCACCATCTATTAAATCTGAATAGATCAGAAACCAATTTGTTTAACTCAATAAACAGTTCTGTGCTTCAGAACTAGACATTTGCCACTTAAGTGTCTCGGTAAATGTTACCCAGGAAAGTGATAACTTGGGTCCTCAGGACAGCCAGAGCCTGCAGGAAATAAGCCTCTTCACATTCTTTGGAGGCCAAGCCACAGACTTCAGGGATGGTTCTCTGAACTTTGCTCCACATGAAGCATTTCTCACACATTCCTAACAGACTTGGGTGGATCTGCCTACATTCATGTCCACAATGCAGGCTGCTGCATACTTAAGTGGACACTCCAAAGATTTTATGATCATGTGGGTCTTTATTAGTGTTTATTTCAGTCAGAATATTTATTTGCTTTTCAGCAGCACACATGGTTTAAGACAAATACAGTAGCTATTTCCTTTTGTCAGTCAAGTCTAAAGCCTCATTCTGGCATTGTCACGGTGCCCATCCAAGGGTTTCCAAACTGACAAATCCAGATGACATCTCAGTGGAAAGTCACTTCCAGCCAATACTGTTTGACTCTGCCCGTCTCATAAATGACAACGTTTCCATCAAACCTGTATTTAAAGACTTAATTTTGCCTGCAATTTGTCTCCATTTCTACTTACTGCCCAACAAGGCTCCTTTCCGTTGCCCAGAAAGCCCTCCTGTGCCACCTGAGTCTGCATTCACACCCCCTCACTTCCGCAGACCATGTGTGTATGTGCCACGTGGTTACATCGAGGATGAATTTCCCTGTATTTGTCTTCTTTGCCTCTTTTTGCCCTTTCTCTCTTATCTCCCCAAGAATGAACCCCTACGTATAACACAACATGATTTCAGTTTCTGAAAGTTTAAAAACACATCTCTTTAAGTTTAGGCCCTTAAATTTACATTGGAAGATGTGCACAAGGTAGTAAGGTTTCTTTGTAGTCCACATTTTTACTTTGAGGTGGTAGATATTATTTTGAGATGGCATTTTCACACACTGTTTGCATTCTCATAGGTGTACAGTTTTAATTTTTTCAACAATTTTATTTCTTACACAGTATTAGCAAAGATTGCGAATTCTAGTGCTGACAGCACCCTAGAAAGTACCAGAAATGTGTGATTTGGAAGCGGTGATGGCCATGGCAAATCAGAGAGTACACACCTCATCTAAAGAGGAATGCAATGCTCTTCTAGGAGGTGCAGACCCATTCTTAACAGATAATGTAAATTATAAAGAGAAGGTAAACATGGGACTCTTTTTTGCGAAATCTCCCAATATGTAAATATTAACACCTACAATCAAATATTTTAAAACATGTTTTCAATCAAATTGAACTCCCAGATCAATAGTTGGCAACAGTTACAAAGCACTGTTGCGTGGCAGCGGGATGGACCAGACCAGGCTGAGGCAGGACTCCAAGAGGAGAGTGCTCCCAGGAAAAGGGCAGATTCACCAGCAAGAGACAAAGGAAAGGGGTTCAGACTCGCTCGCTATGTGTAGGTCAGGGTTTCTTAACTTTGGTACCAATGATTTGGGGGACAAGACAGTTTTTGCTGTGGGGGGCTGTGCATCTTAGGATGTTTAGGAGCACCGCTGGCATCTCCCCACGAGATACCATAGCACCTTTCGGCCCTTCTTCCATCTCCTGTTGTTATAACCCACAATGCCTCTACATGATGCCAGATATCCCCGGAGAGGCAAAATTGTCCTGCATTGAGAACCACCGCAGTTGATTTTGGTGGTAATAACAGATGGGAATTGGTATCAGGGTGGCACATCCTGGGATAGTAGGTGAGGATTCTGATCCACTGGGAGTGCAGAAGCATGGAGCCTGGGAGAGAGCAAATGAGTAAGGTCATGGAAACGTGGTCACAGAGGTCAATATTCTCCAGAGGACTAGATAGAACTAATGATGCAGCAACCCAAAGCTGGAACCCATGGGAAAGGACTAGGAACAAAGCAATACCCAGTTACTCAAATCAGAGGATGAAGTAGAGGTAGGTCCATGGGTCAGGAAGACTCCCAGATTATGCTTTGAACTAGGAACGTGGTTGAGTTCACATTTAGGGCAGAGCGTAGCTCATAGGAGTTGAGAGATCCAAGCTGTAGGGATTGGATCAATGATGACGCTGGAACATAGGGGTCTTCTATTCAGAGACGGCAGGAAGGTCATTTATCAGGGAGTTTACTCATCCTTCCCTCTTATGGATCAGAGGCTTTGTCCTGCCTCAAAAAATATCTCTGGGTGCACGTTCCCACCCAGCAGCATGCCCACGCCTTTCCATTTCACCTCTTCTTCCCCCTGTAGCCGTGCATCTCCTAAGCTCTAAGGGATCCCTCAAGCAGAGGAGCAATGGTCAGCGGCAGCTTGTCCCAGGCCTACCCCATGAACCTCTCTCCAGCGCCTCCTTCTCTCTGACTTTCTAACAAGCCCCAGCAGCCCCACCGAGGCTCTCTCCTGTTGCTTTTTCTATCCTAAGACCTTCCTTGTTTCACTGTCCCCAGCTTTAATAAAAGTATTTGCAAAATAGTAATAATAATAATAATAATAATAATAATAAAAAGAATAGCTCTGGTCCTAGGTGCCGATTCATTATTTTGTTTTTCTTACCAGGGGCCTCTTTGATAACTCTGCTAGAAACCAAGTAAAGTTAGGAACAATTTTTCTAGAGAAAAAAAAAGGGTTGTCCTAATTTTTGTAGTCATTCTTCTATATCAGTTGGGCAAAGATTAAAGTGAAGGTCTTTGGAGAGGCTGCTGAGCATTAAACCTTATGGTTTGCCTCTCTGTGACTAAGGGGCAAGTCATTCATACAGGCCAACTCACAGTATCTATTTCTGTTTTAATGTATAGTTTCTCCCTTTACTATTGAAAAGCTCAACTTTGGGGGTTTTTTTCCTGGTGTTTAAAAGAACACTTTATTTATTTATTTTTAGAAAGAGGGGAATGGAGGGAGAAAGAGAGGGAGAGAAACATTAATGTGCGGCTGTCTCTCACACATCCCAAACTGGGGACCTGGCCCACAACCCAGGCATGTGCCCTGACTGGGAATTGAACCACTGACCTTTCTGTTCACAGGCCAGCTGCAATTCACTGGGCCACGCCAGCCAGGGTGAAAAGCTCAACGTTTTTAAGAATTTTAATGCCCCAAGGGTCAAACTTGCAGCTGGGCTGACTGTGGCCCACAGCTATTTTGTTGAAGACAGTAATTTAGAACTTGGAAACGTTTCACATTAAAAATATAAATATCCAGCCCTTCTTCAAAAACTCTGGCAACATTAAATGCTCATTTCCTACGCAGAAACAAGTGGCTGGAACTGAGTAGCTGCAGTTCATTGAAAGCTAGTCCACTGTTCTTTGGTTCACCCAAATCCCATTGTCTCCGAAGCTGGACTGCTACACCCATTAAAGCCACCTGTTCTGGGCGCATTTAAATTATGAAATAAAGGACAGAGGACATTAACTCTGCCAAAACAACATAGGTTTAGTATCATCACAACTCAAGAGCTTCCCCTCGTTTTCTTATAAAGCCCAAGTCCTAACAGCCCAACAGAGTCAATTGCAAAAATTCCCATATTCAATCTCCATGGTTGAAAAGGGTGCCCCTGAAAAGCCCTGGCTGTTTCCTCTGCCTTGAAAATTTTCTTTGAGAATAATCTGTACAAAACTGAGGTCCACCAAGACTTGGACATCAAGAGTATAATCACAAGTGCTGCTAAGGAATCTACTATTTCCAGTTCATGAGATGAAATGTTTTAATCCTTATGTTCCTATTCACTGAACATTTCTTGTTCTTTTAAAAATTGTTTTCTTTTAAATTTGTTTCTATAGGTTTCTTCATTCGCCACTCCTCAAGATCATGGAAGATTTAGAGGAAATATTATTTGAAGAATTTGAGAACTACTCCTATCCCACAGAATATTACACGCCAGAGTCTGATTTGGAAGAGAAAGTACCCCTGGGAGTCATTCACTGGGTCTCCCTGGTGTTATACTGTTTAGCATTCATCCTGGGCATTCCAGGAAATGCCATTGTCATTTGGTTCATGGGTTTCAAGTGGAAAAAGACAGTCACCACTCTCTGGTTTCTCAATCTGGCCATTGCAGATTTCATTTTTCTTCTCTTCTTGCCTCTGTATATCTCCTATGTGGCCATGAATTTCCACTGGCCTTTTGGCATCTGGTTGTGCAAGGCCAATTCCTTCATTGCCCAACTGAACATGTTTGCCAGTGTTTATTTCCTGACGGTGATTAGCCTGGACCGCTATGTACACTTGATCCACCCTGTCGTAGCTCATCGGCACCGAACCCTAAGGAACGCTCAGATTGTTATTATACTCGTGTGGCTTTTGGCTTCTATAATGGGTGGTCCGTCCCTATACTTCCGGGACACTGAGGAGTTGAATAACCACACTATTTGCTATAACAATTTCCACAAGCATGATCCTGACCTCGCTTTGATGAGGCACCATGTTCTGACCTGGGTGAAATTTATCATTGGGTACCTCTCCCCTTTACTAACAATGAGCATTTGCTACTTGTGTCTCATCTTCAAGGTAAAGAAGCGCAGCAACCTGGTCTCTAATAAGTATTTCTGGACCATTCTAGCTGTGGTCCTGGCCTTTTTTATTTGCTGGACTCCTTATCACCTGTTCAGCATTGGGGAGCTCACAATTCACCACAATAGCTATTTCCACCATGTGCTGCGGGCTGGAATCCCCCTCTCCACGGCCTTGGCATTCCTCAATAGTTGCTTGAATCCCATCCTTTATGTCCTAATTAGTAAGAAGTTCCAAGCGCGCTTTCGCGCCTCGGTTGCTGAGATACTAAAGTACACGCTGTGGGAAGTCAGCTGTTCTGGCACGGTGGGAGAACAGCTTAGGAACTCTGAAACCAAGAACTCGTGTCTCCTGGAAACAGCCCAGTGAAATACTGCTCTTCCACAAATCAGTATAAGGCTTTTGTATGGGTCTCCTGACCATGCTTTCAGATGATTTGATCCCAAGACACAGAGCCAACTGTAGTGTTTTGTTGTTGTTTTTGGTCTGTTTGTTGGCATCACATTCTTGTGTGGATATAGCATTTAGGAGGGATCTTCATTTTTTCCCTGCTACTTAAATTATGTGTCATTCTTACTAATTATACTATAGTAGATTAATCACAGTTGTTGAGGCAATTTCAGTTATTTTTAAAATCTTAACAAATTTCTCTAAGTCCTAAATCTTAATATTAAACATGTGATTAACTCTTTTCAAAGATGGTAAAATAAGTTTCCTTAAGCTCACTTTAATTTTGCTCAAGTAACCTATTAGACAAATTCTTAAAATGCAATGTGTGTACTTCTTTATTTCATGTAACCTTTATATATGCATTTATGAATTAAACTAATAACTGGTTATAGTAATTAGTTTAAAACATCGTTCTGGTTGATTATTATTCATGTTTCGTTAACTGCCCCCCAATCTAGTTGCTTGAAACAACAGTTTATTACCATGCTCTCTCACAATTCAGAGCCAGGAATTCGAACAAGCGCAGAAGGGAGGCTCCTCTCTGTGCTTCACAACATCTGGAGCCTCAGGGGGACTGCGGTGACCCAAACGGTTGAGGTTTGCCACAGCGGGGGCTGGCTGCATGGCTCTCTGCCCTTCCCTCTCCTCTCCTCTCCTCCCCCCAGTCCCCTCCTCTCCCTCCTCTTCTTTCTTCACAAAGCTGTTCCATCATGGCACCTCTGGGTAGCCAGACTTCTTACAGGGCAACTTAGGGATGCAAGAGACCAAAGTGGACATTTCTCGTCCACTTAAAAGCTACGCTCAACACAGACATAGTGTCACTTCCATTGTACTCTATTGGTCAAAGCTGACATAAGCCTTTTATTTCTACAACGGTCTTTATATAGACACCAGTATAAGATCAATAAAGCATTCCTTGAAGTCAGGTGCAAATCTGTTGCATAGTAGACTATAATAATATTTTGACCTGTATTCATTTATATCCTTAGCAAACAGGTGAGTATCTAAGAGGTATGCCAAGCCAGACAAGTATTGTGAGGGATGCCAAGAACCATAAGGTACTTACGGTTTAGAAAGTGAGATTAAATTTGCATAAATACAATCGAAAAACAAGGCAGATCATAGTAGGTACCACAGAGAGCTAGGAAAAGTGCACATTGTTCAGAGAGAAAAGATGTGGCATACAGTGTGGAGGTAAAGGGACACTGGACAGCTCTGTCCCTGCCTTTGGGATTCCCTAAGGTTCTGTTCCTATCTTTTGTCTCTGCTGGCATCTTCATCTTTTGTGAATATAAACTCTGCCACTCACGGCAATTTAAGAAATACATTTAACTTTCTCCAATTTCTGTATTTTGGAAGTTGTGAGGGAAGCTATGTTATTTCTTGAATCAGTATCCTTTTTAGTTTCATCTCTTTGTAGTTTCATCTACTATCAGATCATTTATTAGCTATGTTTTTTACTATTAGCCCCATGCAACAATCAGATCTGATTTTGCAAATTATTCCAAAACACATGGCACGGCTCAGCCTATCTCAAACTTCGCTCATTCCCAGACCTCATGGTTTCTGTTCTATCCAGCACAGCTTAAGGGAGGGAAGGGAGAAAAGGACTCTGCGAATTTCTGGCCCTTTGTGCAGGTGTACACGTGTTCCCTCCAGCCATGGTTTAAGATATTCGACTCTGGGTTCCCCTTGACCTTGAAGGAACAGTCCTGGATTCCCAGAATCAGGAGAAAAGCTGGAGTTTTCAAGGAAAAAGAGAAAACTTCATAGTCTCATCCTTTTTGAGCAAATGGAGACTCTCAAGGCTGTGGGGGAGAAAGAGAGGAAGGCTGAGGAGCAGCCAAGGGCAGAAGGAAATTAATGGAGCAGGTGATATTCTGGAATTTACAGTTCAGGGCAGTGCTTCCTAACCTCTGTGAGCTAGGAATCCATGCAAAACCGCTCATTGCACTTGGTTCACTGGGCACAATATCTAGGGCCCTTTGAGCTTTCCGAGGGCCTATGAAAATACGTGAGATCTTAAAAAGTAATTATTGGCTCTAGGATACAAAAAGAAAACTTGGAAAGTTAAAAGAATACTTAATTGCATGTCTACAAAATATAACTTTATGTCACTTGGTCAAATATTTAGTGATTATATAAAAGCTTATATTTCACACGGGGTTTCAATGTTTCAGTGTTTGATATGAGGCGTGGAGCTTCCAAAGAGAAAAATTCTTTGAGAAAGTTTTACAGCCCTGGCTGGTGTGGCTCAGTGGATTGAGCACCGGCCTGCGAACTGAAAGGATGCTGGTTTGATTCCCTGTCAGGGCACACACCTGGGCTGCAGGCCAGGTCCCCATTTGAGGGTGAGTAAGAGGCAGCCGATTCTCTCTCCCTCTCTTTCTCAATTCCTTCCCCTCTCTCTAAAATAAATAAAAATCTCTTTTTTTTTTTTTTTAAAAAAAAAGAAAGGTCTACAAAGGTCTTAGAGGAACTTTTAATTCATTCAAGAATCTAATGAAAGTCATGGGTCCTTTCTACAGTAATGCTTTTAAATAAAATACCAGGGAGGCCTTAGACCCCAGGCTAAGAACTCCAGTTTTACCAGCTTTTAAAATAGCTGACAGTGGACACACTGTTAGGAATTCACTAGGAGAAAGCAGCAGCCAGTACAGGTGCTTTGCAGCAGAAGCAAGACTTAATTGTTTATTCTCAGTTTGAGGGAAGGTCCAAGGAGTAACTGAGGACCCAAGCTCAGACTCAGGATTGGGGACTCCAAGCCTCCTCCCCGGCAGCTGGGATCTAGTTAGCGAGGCTTCCCTGCGGTCTCATGATGAGGAGCAGGACAAACAATGAAAAAGAAAGAAGCTGGAGGCTGGAAAACGCTACAGCAATTTGGGGATGAAGCGAGGGAGCTCGCTGCCTACTTGGCAGGAGAGAATGGAGCCCCAGGAAACTCAGGGACTGGGGTACAGACCCACCTCTTCCTCAGTGGAAGGAACCTCCTAGGAATAGGGTCCATGTCCCAAGACCTCTGGGGGCAGAATATCTCAATTTGAATTATGGCTGTAACGCATCCTAGCTCTGTGTTAAGTGAGTTGATGCAGGTATTATAGGGCTTTCCATAAAGCACTTAAAGTGGTACTTAGCTCTATAGATGGATACCTGATAAAAATTAGCTGGTATTATACTTACTCAGTGACACTCCTGGCACATTCTGACACAGTAACTGCTTAGTAAATGTTAGATCCCATTCTCCTTTTGAATGAACATGAAAATCTCATAGGAAGTACACAGACAACTTGAAAACAAGACAGTTTATAAATACTATAAAAGAATATATGTGCTGGGAGGCTGCAAGGCGCAGGAAGGAGCAGAATTTAAAAAGACTTCTTGCCATGGCTCGTGTGGCTCAATGAATTGAGCGATGGCCTGTGAACCAAGGGGTCACTGGTTCAATTCCCAGTCAGGGCTCAAGCCTGGATTGCAGGCTAGGTCATTGGTTGGGGGCATGCGAGAGGCAACCACACACTGATGTTTCTCTCTCTTTCTCCTTCCCTTCCCATCTCTCTAAAAATAAATAAATAAAACATTTTTTAAAAAGGCTTCTTGCAAGAGGTATCTGAAGTGCGTTTTGAAAAATGACTACCATGTGACGAAGTGCAAGTGAGGAAAGAGGTTACTTTAGGTAGATGGCACAGCAAGACCAAAGGTAGAGATTGGAAAACATGCACTGTGTTTAGAAAAGAGAATAATCCCATTTTACAGGAACAGAGTAAAAACAGGAGATTCAGAATTGATGTCAAGCTTAAAGAGCGATCCATAGTTCTTTTCTATGCTCATATATGGACAGTAGGTTTTCTGGGGATGAATATTTAGAAGTCTGTGGACACTGTTGATTTTCACTTTCTTGAAAAAAATTCCAAATGACACGCTCTCATTTGGGACATTTCCCAAATGCAGCTATTATTATATGGTGCATGTAAGGAGAGAATGTCTGATTATCAGTCTCAGCTTCCAATTTAGATTTACCCTTATGTGACATCTTCTCACGTTCCCTAACTGAGGGTATGAAGCACTGATGAAACAGGATTAAATTGTATAAAAGCAGGGACAAAGAACTTTTCCCACTCTACGACCAACACATTACTGGACTCTGGAGGCCTGGATTTGAGTTCCTCTTCCTCTCACTAGATGAATAATCAGGCAAATCTTCCAGAGCTCAGTCTAGTGTCTGCCTGCCTTATCTCTTAGGCTTATAATAAAGTTCAAATTAGACAATGTATGTGAGGCATTTATCTATAAACATTTACTTTTTTATTCTAAGGAAAATAATTGCCATTGCCAAATGGTATTTGTTTGGAAAAAGTTTCACATCTCAAAACACTAACGCAACTTTTTCTATTTGTCTTTGTCTATAAGCTTACCTTTTGATAATAATAATGAAAAATCAAGCATTTTTTAATGTTTTATAGTTTCCATTTTTTCAAATAATTCTATTAAGCTTATAAAATATTTCATTGAGTATATATGCCATCATTTAGTCATTTCCGTTTCCATTAGGATAACAGTCTTATTTACCTGCTTCCATCTACACCATCTCCAGATCAGAACTCTGCCTTTGTCTTGTCTTCCCCAGCTTGGAAACCTTCAAGGCTCCCCATGAATGGCCAGCCTATAGTTCAAATGCCTCTACAACCTGGCCTTATCCTATCTAATCCAACACACTGCAGAATGCAGCCAAACTGGTTGAATGGCCTCCCAAACGTTCCTGGGTTTATCATTCTGCCTTTCATACCTCCTGGAACATTCTCTCTCCCCTTTTAACTAATTGGTCAAGGTCTATCTAGTTTAACCGCTGGTTCCTCTAAAAAACTTCTCAATTCTAGCCTTCTTCTGAACTTTTGGATTACTTGCTTAATCACAAAATGACTTTTATACTTTTTCAACAATTTTGTATGTGTTTGAACCACCTCCCTACAATTTTCTTTGTATTTTTTATAGCAGCTAAGAGTGATGCTGAATGAATCATTTTAAATTCCCTCCCACACTGTACCCAACCATGTGCTGGGGAGGCTGAGCATGAAATATAAACAAGGTTTCAGTTTTTGCAATCATGTATGGGGCATGCAAAAATAGGTGGCCACTTATTTTTCCTGTTTTCTACTCCAAAGACAGAAACAGGAAAAAAAAAAAAATCACTTTCCCTACACACACCTGTGCCTTCTGAGCCTATGAGTTCAAAAACAGTTCATCAGTACATGGCTAACATGTAAATGTCAGCATTGCTCATAAATAGCAAAAAAATGAAAGCAATCTAAAAATCCAACAAATAGACTGGTTACATAAGATATGAAACAATGGATTATGTAACTTAAAAAATCAGGAAACTTTTTAATGTACTAATATGGAATATCCAAGATATAGATGATCTCCAAGATAACTATTTCTTTGGACGAAATGCGAAGTGCAGAAGTTAGTCTGCATGCGTATGCTTAGGCCAGCTCTGGAAAGGCCTAAGAACCTGGTGGTATTAGTTGCTTTTATGGACATGAACAGGAGGCCTGGCAGATGGGAGATTTCATTGTATAACCTCTTGAATTTTGAACTATGTCAATATATTATCTACTTTTTAAAATATAAAATTAAAAGATACTGTTAAATGTTTTATTCAAGGCTGTGAAGATTTGGTCACAGGCATCATCAATTATCTTTTTTTCTTTAAAGATTTTATTCACTTATTTTCAAAGAGAAGGAAGAGAGGAATATCAATGTGCGAGAGAAACAGCAATCGGAAATCAGTTGCCTCTCACCAGGCCCCAACTGGGAACCCTGGCCAGCAAGGCCAGGCAGGTGCCCTGACAGGGAATCAAACCGGTGACCTTTCAGCTTGCAGGCCAGTGCTCGATCCACTGAGCCACACCAACCAGGGCTTTTTAAGATTTACAAGAGAGCTGTGGCTTAAACTCACTATTCTGATTTTTTAAACTCCTTTTAAACAAGTTTTTAATCATTAGTTTTTTATCATAAATATTTGTTGAAACTTAATGTTCTGGTCAAGCTACTTAGTACCAATCGCTTTACTATGTCAATGACTAAATTATTTTTGGCTACTATTCATTAATCTCTCCATAGCAGCATTTCCAGAATCCACAGGATCTCAATCTCCAGAAAATGAAGTGCTGCCCTCTGCTGGCTCTTGTGATAGTGACAACCTGAAAATTTCTGATGGTTTTAGACTGGGTTAGACTAAACTGCTTAGTGATTTCATTAGTACATACATGTCCAATTAAACAAATTTTATTTACAATTTAAACAATTTCCCACACTCAAAGTAGTCACTTATTTTAAAAAAATCAGATTTGGCAGGAGAGGGGAATAAAAACAGCTTTGTCTAGGAAACTTCTGACCTCAAATCATTTAATCTTTTTGATTTAGAGACTTTAAGAGCTTAGCAATTTCCAAGCTCTACTTTTATAAAAACTAATGTAAAAAAAATAAACCAAATGTTATATATATCTCTACTTAAGATGAAACTCTTACCAAGATTTGACTATCATTTAACATACTGCCTTCATCTCAGTACATTTACCTGTAGTACTGCCTCAGTATGGTCATTATAGAAGTCCTACCTCAATAGGTCCAATCAGATTTCCAAACGAGAAAAATGTCCCACTTAGTCCCCACTCACCTTCACACCCAAGCCAGGCTTTTGAAAAAACCATAGCATGGGAATTAATTGTCTATATAATCTCCCTTCCAGAACAGTGTTACTCAAAACACATTCTCACTTTCTCCTTTATCAGCGTACATTATTGCATCTGTCTAGACAAATGGTTATAATTTGTGACAAATTCTGGGAACCCTTCCCTTAACTGTTACCCTCCTTTGCATTAGGTGTCCTTTAGTAAAATTGCATTTCTCAACACTTAACATTTGAAATTGATTTTTCAGTCACAAGTAACCAACTTGAAGATGCTAGGTTACTTCATCAGCCATTTAGGTCATTGGTCTGTCTCAGCATTAAATACATTTTTAACTCCGAATGTTTTAACTACCCTGCAAATACTGTAACTGACATTTTTCACCATGTGGCCAGTACTGTCCTAAGCAAGGACTTCACAGCCTTTTGTCATGATTCTTAGTTTAAGGTAATCCTAACACTCCCATTTAAGAAAACTAGCCCAAATAACTTAAATCCTTGCCAAGTCCAAGGTCTGAACCATCATAAACCACAGGATTAATTTCCTAATCCAAAATTCCCACAAGTGAAGTTTTTAGCTAGTTTTTTGTAAAAATAAAGCAAACAGGAAAACTTGTGTGATAAAAATACTATCATCATACACTGCTGAAAACAAGTACAGAAATTATACTGAGATTGTTCATTTAAATCCGTTTATAAAATCTACACCACCTACCTATAGAGCTTTTGTAATAAGTGGTTTCCCTCTTTTGGGCTAAAAGTACACAAATCTAGCTCTGACTGGTGTGGCTCCTTTGGTTGGGCACTGCCCTGCAAACTGAGAGGTCACTCGTTCCGTTTCCCCCATCAGAGAATACACATGGTTTGCAGGTTTTATCCAAATCAGGGCTTGATCGACACTTTGTTCCCTCCCTTACCCTTTCTCTAAAACTAAAATCTTAAAAACTATAAAGAATGCTGACCCAAATTTACATTATGAATCACATAGTCATTAAATTACTCAAAATGGAAGGAATATATGGTTAGCCTTTGAACATGGGTTTTAACTATGTGGGTCCACTTATATGCAAAGTCTAAACTATAGCCAGTCCTCTGTATCCCTGGGTCTTGCATCTGCGGATGCAGAAGGCCGAATGCATGCATTGTTTTCTGCCATTTTATACAAGAAACTTGAGGATCTATGAGGTGTCCTGGAACCATCTCCTATGGATACCTGAACACTTAAGCTTTAGGGGAACAAAGACAACCATGAACTTCTGACCGCGTTGGGGGTTGTTGACACCCCAACCTCTCACATTGTTAAGGGACAACCGTACCACCCCCCTATTAAACAGTCAAGAACCAAGGGTTATCGTTCAAGCTTTTATTTAAGGGCAATGATCCAGGATGGATTTTAGATCTTGTTGAAAGCAGCCACGTCCATGGACTGCACATAGTCCTCAAAAGCGCAGATCCGCTCCTCCAGCATGTCTGTTCCAACCTTATCATCTTCTACTACACACTGTATTTGAAGTTTTTTAATTCCATACCCCACTGGAACCAGTTTGGCTGAAAAGAGCATTAAGAAAAATCTTAGAGAAATACTGTTCGTTGGCAAAGGTTGGAACTATGCAAATTCCCAATGTCAATTTCCAAAAACAAAACAAAACAAACAAACAAAAAACCCAAATGGGGGTGGGGGGGCAAAGACTAAACTCACAAGAGCCCCAGACTAAGCCGTCTGCTTGAATGCTCCTGACACACTCCTCTAGTTTTGCCATATCCGTCTCGTCATCCCAAGGTTTCACGTCTAGTAAGATGGAAGACTTGGCAACAAGTGCAGGTTCTAAAAAAATAAAAAATAATAAGAAACAAGCATTACTCAAATATTCTATCATATTTTTAACATAATTAACCCAAGACATATCACTTGTTTTAAAAGGGATCCTCTCTTTAGCCACACAAAACTACAGAATACATCTTGTGTTTGTCACACGCATGCCCACTTTCCGTTTTGCTAAGAAAGGGACGTTTAACCGTGTAACAATTCCTTTCCCACAGAGGAATGCCACAACTGCCATCACCAGAACAGCTGCGGACCAGTAGCTGTGGAAGTCTTTTGAAGAAATAATTCTACAGAAGGTTCGCTGACCTAACTGGTAAATGTGGAAGAAATTACTTCGTGGATTAATCCTCGAAAAAGATTATTCACACTACTATGAAATGAAAATAAACACAATTATAAAATGACCTACTTTTGGCTTTCTTTGACTCATACTGTGCAAGGCGTTCTTCTCTTAGCCTTTTCGCTTCTTCACTTTCCTGAAAAGAGAAAAATGAATGTATTTCACAAAGCTGATTGTTCCTCAGCCTGAAGATAGAGGGGCAATCACAGCAAAGACGAGCTTCATCAGAAAAAAGCAAATCCATCATGAACTCAGCCGAAAGATGGTGATTTGATTTTATTCATCATGTAACCAGTGAGAATTTTTAAAAGGCAGGTAGTATAACGAAGCCAGGGTTCAAATCCAAGCAATTAGGCTAGAGCCTGTGCCTAAGCACAATGACACACTTAAACCAATTTATTCCATACCTCCTCATCATCAGATCCAAAGAGATCAATGTCATCATCATCTTTACTATCTGTAGCTCCACCTCCTGTGGTGTCTTCCACATGAGCAGGACCGTACTTGCCCAAAGCTTTCTTTACTCCAGGCAGGCTTTAAAAAAATAAATAAAAAGTTAACTATTAGACTGATACGTTATTCTTCAAAAAATACATAAGCTGCTTTCATCACTATTAACAGAACCCATTTAACATTCCCACGTAATTTTTTATATATTTTAATTTCTCACCCAAACAACATTAGTAACATGTGAGACATTATATTCAATACTCACTATGATTTACTCTTTCAGAATGAGTATTTCTGTTTTGTGATTTCATTAAATATGCTCAATTCCATTCTTAGTGAACTGGAGTCCACTTCCCCAAACTTCCACCCTTGTTGGCAGTTTCAGAAGAATGGCCAAGGACTGAATGAATGAGCCACCCTCTCACCCCAGAGGTGGGCCCCCCAGGTCAGGGCCAGGGGTAGTGTGGGGAAAAGATGAACTGCTGTTGTCCACGTTCTACCTGTTCTGCGAAAAAATGGAGGGCTTCAGTCTCTTGGCTTTTTAAAGTCACAAAAGAAAACTTAGATTACAATATCCCAACAAAACTAAAGTAGCCTGAGTCCAATTCTATCAAGTGAAAATCCTGAGTTACAGCTTAGAAAGGGGCCCTGACTGGTGGGCTCAGTGGGTTGGGCACCATCCAGCAAACCAAAGGTCGCTGGTTGGATTCCCAGTCAGGGCACATGCCTGGGTTGAGGGCCAGTTCCCCTGCCGGGGGCGCGCAAGAGGCAACCTATCAATGTTTTTCTCCCTCTTTCTCCTCCTCCTCGCTCTAAAAATTAATAAAATCTTAAGAAAGAAATAGCGTAGAAAGCATTCTGCTCTTCAAATAAAGATAATTTTACCTGGTTTTTTCCTTTTCGTAAGACTTAATATGGTTATACCAACGTAGGGCATGGAACAAATTGGCAGGTGGTGGGCCGGAGATTGCTTCAAATACTGCCACATCTGCTTGTGACGGCACATACCTGCCAACGACAGAAAAGTACACAGGACTTTAAAAGTTCTACCACAAACACCATCAAAGACAAACGCTACGTCTCTCAAATAATTAGTGGGATCTCGCCCATTATCACCGGGCTTCCTAAACCGCATCAGATTAAAAGAAAATAAGCTCCTCAAGGTAAGGAACCATCGTTCTGTTCTCTCCTGAGAAATGCCCGACACCTGATACACCTCAAAGACTGCGATCTCTAACGTACACCTATAGGTTTACATTTACTGAGAAAAGACGCAGAAAAACCTGGTTGAAACCAAATCAGTCATTTTAAAAAGCACACTTTTGACCCTTCTTCCCTTTGAGGTGCCTCCCCCAAGGCCGAGGCCGGGCTACTCTTCCCCCAGCCACAGCGGAGACAGCGCCACGTGGTCTCGGGAGCACCCGGCCGCAGCTCGAGCCCAGCTTACCCCTCGATGTAGCTCTTGTCCGCCAGGTAGTCGTTGAGCACCTGGAGACCGGCGGAACTTTTCAGGTCTCCAAAACCCATGGTGCCGGCTGACCCGGGAGCCCGGCGGCGACACAGAAAAGAGGAGCGCAGGCAACTGGCGCCGAGCGCTAAAGGGGAAAAGGCCGCAAAAAGCCGGAAAATCCCTTATATAGAGAGGGAGGCGTTTCCCTCCGCCGCGCACGCCGGAAGTTTAAGGTCAAAGTACGTTAACCTTTTCATTCCTCAACGTAAAAATCGGGGCTCTGAAATAAACAGCCCACAAATTTCCCGTGGGCCTTTCTTTGTGTTTGGAAACAAATCAATAAAAGGGGCATTGCTTAAATTAGTACCTCCTCGACCTCCGCAGATTTACAGGTCCCGCCCCTTGAAGCACCGGAGATGATCGAAGTGGCTCGGTCTCAGCCTCCCGGCCACTTCCGGCGGAACTGCGGTCCCGGCCTCCGATCTCCGCCTCCTCCCGGCTGCTTTGCCCTCCGCCCCGCCTTCTGTCAAACTGACGAAAGTTGCCGAACTCAGTCTGAGCGGCGACATTGTCGAATCTGAAGTCTCTAGTCCCTCCTGGCTTCCCGTTCTCCAGGCCCGGCAGTCGGAGTTAGCCAACGCCGCCATATTTAATAAGCAACGGGCTCTTAAGGGGGTCGGTGTGGTGCAGACAGTTCTGCAGAGCACCCTCGGCGGCTCTAGGGAGAAGGTGAGGTCGTGTTTGGGTGAGAAGGTTGAGAAGCCTCGGCCACAGTAGTTTACTTCTTAACAGAACTATTTCTTTTGGCCCAGGAGACTAATTCTCCTCTTGTCCTTGACTGGGCGCCGCGTCCCACTCCGCCTCCCCGGGAACCCTTGAGAGCCGGCAGGGAAGGCCTGTGTAGCCACGGGCTCTGGTCTTGCTGGAGCAGCAAAGAAGAGGCTCTGGAGGCCCTGGGGAGCGCCGGCCTGAACGCAGGCTGTGGGTGACCTTCCCTCCGCAGGGGAAATGCAGGACATTACCCTTTCTAGAGAGGAGGTCGTTTTGTTCCCTGGAAGAGGACCGGTGTCAAGTGACTTAGGCCTAAAGACTGAGCATTTTCTGCAAAATTAGTACATAGCTGGTACAGTGCATTACTGTTTTCGCCTCTATTGCCTTAGCAACCGTCCACGCCTCTGATTGTTTTTGTCCTTAGTTTTGTGCATTGATTGCATTGGGCAAAATTTATTCCTTTCACTGGTGGGGAAACCGAAGGAAAAGATACACAAAAAGTTAGACCAAGGTTGCACTGCGAATAACAAAGCTACACTGTTTAAAAGTTCTTGGGATCTAGTGCATGTACAGTACTGTAAGATTGTGGATCAGGTAACTGCTCAAAACGGATTGAGGGTATAGAAAATGTAACGTGAACTATTTCTGATAAATAAACATCAAGGTGATTTTTTTTTTTTTGAGGAATGTTTTCTTTTTTTCACCACATTATGTGTGCATTGTTAAGCAGGGTATTACAGTGTTGCCTGAGAACCACACTGTCTAATTCAAAGAAAGTGCATGTTTATGTACAGAGATTGGAGATAGAATTCGTTTAGCAAATAGTTATTGAACACCTACTATAAGCTAGAAAGAAGTCCATGAAGAAGAATTAAATGCGTAACATGACTGGGGAACAGTTAGGAAATGTTAGATAGTCAATGAAAGTCTCCATGAGGAAGGCTTTGAAGCCAAAATTGGGAGGATGAGAAGGGGCCAGAAGATCTGAGGGAGGAGCATTTCAGTCTGAGGCCACACCTGGTGGAAAGAAGGGAGAGGCTGTGGGAACTGTGAAGTCAGAGACCTGTGAGGGGGCTAGAGATGTTGGTGGCTTGGAATAGGGTAATACCTTGGAGGGAGAGAAGTGAAGAGTGGAGAATGTGGAGTAGTATTGTCCCTATAACAAAAAGCGTTGTTCCTATATGGTAAATATGTGTGGAGTATGTATCAAAGTTATGCAATCTGTATTTCCTTACCTGAGGATACGTTTATTGATTTTAGAAAGAGAGGAAGGGAGAGAGAGAACCATTGATGTGAGAAAGAAAACATCCATCAACCGCCTCCCATATGCACCCCGAACCCCAACCAGGGTTGCACCCGTTACCTAGGTTTATGAGTTGACTGGGGATTGAACCCATAACCTTTTGGTGTACAGGATGATGCTCCAACCAACTGAGCCACCCAGGCAGGGCTGCAATCTGCATTTCTTATGGTGGGATTGTGCAGTATTCGATTTGATGCTGATTTTCAACACCTGGCATAGTTTTGGTAGATTTCCTAGCAAGAGTGGGCACTACTTTGAAATTGTACTGAAAACAAAATAATAGCATTAAAGTTTTTATATTGTATAAACTATTGATTTGTGATTTTGAATCTGTCATTACTTGAATTCAGCAAATTGAAGTTTATATCAGTAGATTTTAATAGATCAGATGTTATTTATCCTGGAAATTGGTGATTAGGCTAGTTGATGGTTATTTTCCCAAGGGCATGCATGGTAGTAGGTCCTCAGAAAAAGGAAATGAACAAAGTTTATTATTCCTTGTCAAGGAGCTTACAGTTTAGTAGGTACTAAAATTGATTACTAACCTGCGGTTTACTAGATGAAATAATAAAGATGTATACACAGTGTGTGCTGATAGTAAAAAGAAGGAGTGCAAACGAGGAGCACTTTAAAACTGATCCTAAGTGGCTAACACTACCTAAGTTGACATCAGCTTTAAGTGACATTTATTGAGCTCCAACTCATAATATATAGCCTAGGAAGTATTGTTTTCTTTCTGCTCTATAAATAAAGAAGCAGAAGCTTTCATTTACCAAAATCAGCAGTAGGTGATAGACCTGTTGTCTGCAAATTCAGTATCACACATTCAGAATTAATGAATTCTATGAATTATTGAAATCTGATATAATGAAATTTCCAGTTATACACATCTATAATAGGTACATGAAACTTAATGCTTAAAAGTTAGGTATGTGTATTATTTTCTACTCTCTTTACCTTTGAAATGCTTTATGTTGATACATCTGATCACATAATTTGCATTTTTTAAAATTCCAAGTGAAAAATTATTATTTAGATGCTTACCCCATCTGATAAAGTGAATGAACAAAAATCTAAAAGTTAAGCTAACTTTTCTTTATGTCTTTATTTGGTGTTATTTATATTATCCACTTCTATATATTTCAGTAATTCAGCAAGCCTTTTAGAGCAGGATTTTTCAACTTTCAGCACTGTTAATACTTTGGAATATCCTTCATTATGGGACTGTCCTGTGCACTGTAGGATGTTAGCAGCACCCTGGCTTCTGCCCCGTGGATGCCTGTAGTTTTTCCCCCCGTTGTGACAACAAGTAATGTGTGCAGGCATTTCCAAATGTTTCCTGGGAAGCAAAATTGTTCTTGGTTGAGAACCACTGTTTTAGAAGAGCTTACTGTGTGTTATCCTGGAGGCACTGAAGATAGAAAGATTCAAGAATTTCATAATACAGTGGGAACAGAACAGGCGTATAGACAGATAATTGCAAATTTATAAGATAAATGTACTAGTCAGCACAGGAAATCGCACCCTAGACACTTCAAGAGTTGGGCTTGTGAGCTAGCCCAGAATATCTCAGGAGCCTTTAGTACAACATATAACTGCTCAGAATATAGAATATTAGAAGACATATTGGTAGAAAATGAAGGCAGAAAGGTAGGCTTTATTTTACATAGCTATTAATGACAAGCTAATTGTTATTCTTGAAATTTATTTTACTATATAGTAGTGTTTTAAATGTGATAATTTGTTGACAGTTAAAAACAATAAAACTGCCCTTTACATAGATTTAGAAGCCCCACATTTATATACCAGCTGCTACCTCTTAGCTCCTTTACATTGTGTAAGTCAGTAATCACATTAAGACTGCATATTCTCATCTATAGAATTTGGGGGGGGAATCAGTATTTGTGAATATTCAGTAAAATAATGTATGTGGATGCTTTGAAACAAAAAAGTTTGTAATTAGGATTTTTCTACAGTAATGTAACTCTGCTTTGTTTTATTCTTAGCAATATGTTAAGGATACCTGTTAGAAGGGCCTTAGTAGGCCTTGCTAAGTCTCCTAAAGAATATGGTGAGTATTTTTTAAATTTGCATTTGTCTGTACTCAGCTTGCTATTTTCATAAATTCTTAGGTCTATTGAATGTTTCTGAAAGGACCCTAAACTCTTAATTTGTTTTAAATAAACATAGAAACAAATGGCCCAAGTCAAATAGAATAATTTGAAAATGTAATTTTACCTTAAAACAGCTTAAAGAAATTATCATGGAATAGAAAGTAATGAGAACTGCCCATCAGTGCCAAAATGGAAAAAACAGTCATTCTGCTTTTGAAAAGTTGTCTCCCCACGGACATATTTTCAGTAGTATTAAAAGTTTTAACTATTAAAAGTAGATAACTGTATTTTGTTTGGTACTCAGGATTTGAAAAGCTTTCTTCTAATTCAGTATTTTATAAGTTTGTATCTAGAGAAATTTTAGGCTTGTAGGTTAGTTAATGCATTATCTTCTGCTATAATAAATTCAACTCTGTTAATTTATTTTTCACTTCAATATTTTTGATGGTCAGTTCGAACAACTGCCACAGCAGCAAGCAACTTGATTGAAGTATTTGTTGATGGTCAGTCTGTCATGGTGGAACCAGGAACTACGGTCCTTCAGGTAGGCATGTGTTCTAATTCTATATTTTTGTGTATGTTCTATTTTTTCCTTAAATACCAACTTATTTCCTTTCTACTGTTTATTTACCTCTAAAATTTTCAAGATTCCTTAGGAAATGCTCATAAAAGAACTGTAGGTAGTAAAATTCCATGAAAATAAGTATGACTTGAAACCTTGGCATTTCAGAGTGAGAGGTCATTTATCTGTTTCAGACTTTCATAGTGAACTGTGGCAGTTCTTTCACTTCTGCCTTCTAAACACTCATGAAGAAATTTCAGGTTACTTAAATTATTCCTTAATATGGGTAAGTTTGGGGAGAAAGTAAGCTTTGTGTTTTGTGAGCCTGCTTGATGCTTTGACTTTCATGTAACATTTCTGTTTTCAGTATATTTCTACGAATATAACCTACAGAACAGGTAAATGAAGGGTACTAGATTCTTGAATA